CAGACGCTACTCACCAAGGTAGAATGTAGAACATTGTCTTTATAAACTGTGTTATGCCAATTGAGCTAGATGTTCCCCGAGACCATGGTCCCAACAGCCCTCCACCCAGAAGTTCAGTCCCTCAGGGAGTTTGGATGTGTCTGTGGAGCTTCCATGACCTTTCCTTGTCCCTTTCTATATATTCTGAGGGATCCTTTCCTGGTTGAAATATAAAAGGATATGTGTATTTCCTGGTGTGATTATTTTGGGTTGAAGCAGATTGGAGTCATGTGTGGGTCATGACTGACATCAAACATCATAAAACAATGCCACCTTGGCCATAGCTTTGAGCTTCAGGAAGAGGTGTTGCCACAATTCTCAAAAATGAATACAATTTTGAGTGTCCTGACAGCTAAATTTTAGATCCCCAGTTTCATGTGACCCTGAGAGTTTATTTCCTGAGAATTTCCATGCACTGGAAAATGCCAGTGGATACAGATATTGCTTTCTTGAATATATAGACTAGGGTTAATCAATAGAAAACCCTCCTCTCTACATGGAAACACCTGACAGGTTATTCTAGAAGTTTAGAGACCTCTAGGCCTTGTCCTTATCTTCTTGTTGTCAATGGTCAGCATCACTCGTAATGGGTTATTGTGGAGAGTGTTAATGTTCTTGATACCTTTGAGAATAGCACACTAAAGTCTTAACCATGAAGAAACGAACTTCTCCGCCTTGACCTCTGTCTTCCTGCTGTCTACTTCGATAAAGATTTCTGAGGATGATCCCTCTTGGCCTGCTTTCCCTGGGGCTGTTAAAAAAAAAACCCAGGTATCCTGCGGAGAATATGTGTACTCTCTGATCCAGTTTGACACTGGGCTGGAAGAAAGACATGTGTGGTAAGCATCTTGTGGTCTAAGGGGATGTATGCCTGGGAAGTGCCATGGCTCAGGTCAATCATGATACCTTAACTTTTCTTGAAGAGATATGATGACATAAAAATCGTGCTCAATAGGACCAACAGGAAGCTCCTTTGCCCAATTTTATTTATCTACTTCTAATGTACCCCCATTTTGATTCTTTTTGCCTCCCATAAGTGACCAAAAATGCTAAGTGTCTGACATTTCTCAGGCGCATTCCTTGTCTCTTTTCCTCTCTTTGTGTACTCTAAAAAGACCCATTATGAAGAAATTCTCTATTCCATGGATTCAAAGTGAGTTTTTCTATGTCATTATAACTTGTCTCTACTGATAACCTGGACAAATGAAGATGCAGCCCAGAGGTAATTGGATATAGGCAATCAGATAAGACATGTCCCTACTATTTTTCTTGACCATAAGTGCTTCACCAAGTGGCAGTGATCTTCATGGGTACTGTCATGGATTGAATTATGTCCCCCCAAAAATGTGTGTATCAATTTGGCTGGGCCATGATTCCCAGTATTGTGTGATTTTTCCCATGTGTGGTAAATCATGCCTCTATGATGTTAATGAGGGAGGATGGGCAGCAGTTGTGTTAGTGAGGCAGGACTCAATTTATAAGACTGGATTGTGTCCTGAGGCAATCTCTTGGGATATAAAAGACAGAAGTGAGCGGTGAGACAGGTGGACCTCATCCCATCAAGAAAGCAGTGCTGGGAGCACAGCGTGTCCTTTGGACCGGGGTCCCTGTGCAGAGAAGCTCCTAGTCTAGGGGAACATTGACGAGAAGGCCGACAGAGAGAAAGCCCTCCCCTGGAGCTGATGCCCTGAATTTGAACTTTTAGCCTACTTTACTGTGAAGAAATAAATTTCTATTTGTTAAAGCCATCCACTCATGGTATTTCTGTTGTAGCAGCACTAGATAACTAAGAGAATTTGGTACCGAGAGAGTGGGGTGCTGCTCTAACAGATACCTAAAATGTGGAAGCGGTTTTAAAACTGTCAATGGATAGAGCAGTGACAGCAACGAAGGACCAACAGCAGCAGAGAACCTGCAACAGCAGAGAAGTGGCAGAGAACCTGCAGTGGCAGAGGAGCGGCAGTGGCAGAGAACCAACAGCAGCAGAACCAGGAGACCAGTGCGAGAAGGCGCTAGAACTGACTCACGGAGCGAGAAAGCTGAGTGCCTGTGAGCACGAGGCTTTCTGGTGGAGTGGGGTGCCTCCGGGCACTTACTGGTGGAGCTACTGAACTTTGGAACACTTGCCCCAGCAGGGCAGATGCGGGCTTGAGGCCCGAGGGCTGAGAGGCCACAGGAAACAGAAGCTGAAGAGACAAAGAACACAAGAAGCCAAACCACCTTAGTCTCAAAAGGTATGGCCATGACCTCAGGGGTCTGAAAGGGTGGAGCCATGGCCTCTGGTGTTTCTAAGGGTGGAGTTATCACTCCAATGGACTAGGAGAATGCTGTGCCTAAAGCCAAGGGAGCAGAGTTGCTGTCCCCGGGGCCTGGAAGGCAGAGCTGAAGCCCAGGGCCGTTGGGTCTCCACTCAGAATCCAGAGACTGTGGCCAGTACCTAGAGTCTGGAGGGCAGGGCCATTGTGTAAATTGTCTTGGAGAACAGAAGATTATTTTCAAAGCCTTGAGGGCTAATGTAATGTGCTTGGCTGACTTGCTTGGTGCCTGTTATCCCTTCTTTCTCTCCAGTTTCTCCCATTTGTAATGGAAATGTCTAGCTTGTGCCTGTTCTGCCATTGTAAGCAGATAGCTGGTATCCTAGATTTCACAGATGAAGAGGAATTTTTGGATTTTGGACTTGGAGTTAAGACTTTTGCTATGATATGATGGGGTGAATATGTTCTCCATGTTGCAAGGATGTGGTTTTTAGGGGGGCAAAGGGTGGAATGTCATGGATTGAATTATGTCCCCCCAAAAATGTGTGTATCAATTTGGCTGGGCCATGATTCCCGGTATTGTGTGATTTTTCCCATGTGTGGTAAATCCTGCCTCTATGATGTTAATGAGGGAGGATGGGCAGCAATTGTGTTAGTGAGGCAGGACTCAATTTACAAGACTAGATTGTGTCCTGAGGCAATCTCTTGAAATATAAAAGACAGAAGTTAGCAGTGAGACAGGAGGACCACATCCCATCAAGAAAGCAGTGCTGGGAGCAGAGCGCATCCTTTGGACCGGGGTTCCTGTGCAGAGAAGCTCCTAGTCTAGGGGAACATTGACGAGAAGGCCGACAGAGAGAGAAAGACTTCCCCTGGAGCTGATGTCCTGAATTTGGATTTTTAGCCTACTTTACTGTGAAGAAATTTAAATTTCTCTTTGTTAAAGCCATCCACTTGTGGTATATCTGTTGTAGCAGCATGGGCAATTAAGACAGGTACGTATTTAGGTTTCACAGGAGATTAAAACACTTTCAAGTTAAGTAATTGTTGATACCCTTGCACCCATTCCTATATGGCATATTGAATAGGTAGAAATGCACAACTGGACAGGTATTTTTTTCTAAAATATTTATGAGATTCTGATGGCTTGGAGCTAAGCGGTGACACTAGTGAACTTCCCATAAAGGAAAGCTTCTGCTAGTGGAGGCAAGAGCGTGTTTCTGCAATATGATTTTCCCATGAATTATGGAACTGTATGAACTGTTGAATAGTCTGTACCTGACTCTAGCTCCAAAGAAAAGGTGGTTTCAAGTTTTTGTGCATAGAAAAGCTAATGTAAGGGACAATACCAGTTTTTAAGGGTGATGCTATGGAGATGACTAACTTCAGCAGTTGAAGCCATGATCGACTCCTCTTCATAAGAAGAGTGGAAAAAGTTTGCGATTTTTTCCTCGTGCACAAAGTTCACTTTCTACTGAAAGTTTATTGAAATCATGTAGAGACAAATTGTGAGTCCTGCTATGTGTATCCTGAGGGATCCTCTGCTGGATAAAATACAGGAGGAGACAGTTCTTCCAGCTGCGATTATTTTGAGTTTAGACAGATTTGGTCACTGTGAGGGTCATGAGTGACATTGACATCATAAGGCCCATGGCATTTTGACCACAGCCTTGAGTTTCAGGAAGAACTTTGTTGCAATTTTTGAAGTGGAATATAATCCTGGGTGTTCTGACAGCTGATTTTTAGATAGCCAATTTTCTGTGACCCCGGAGTGTCATTTACTCAGAGTTCCCATGCACTGGCAATGTCAGTGGATACAGGTATTGCTTCCTCGAATATCTTGGCCATGAATAATTAATGGAAAAGCCTCCTGTCTTTGTGGAACATCCTGAAAGGTTATTATATATCCAGAGAACTCTAGGGGTTGTTGTTACATTGTTTGTTGTCAATGGTCAACGGCCTACATAATAAGTTATTTGTGGGAGTCCTGATATTATCAATACATTTGGTAATAGCTGGCCTGAGCTATAATTATGAAAAAATCAACTTCTCTCCATTGAGGTCTTACTGCTGTCTCCTTTGATAAAGCTATTGGTTTCTTCCAGTCCAGAGCAAAGGAGAGTTAAAAAAAAAAACAAAAAACAAAAACAAAAAACAAAATCAAAGGCTCAAGGGAGCAATGAGTCCAAACAACTAATGGACCACAAGAACCACAGCCTACACCACCCCAAGACCTAAAGAACTAGATGGTGCCTGGCTACCACCTTTGACCGCTCTGACTGGGATCACAACAGAGGGTCCCAAACAGAGCAGGAGAAAAATGTAGAACAAAAAATCAAATTCACAATAAGACCAGACTTACTGGTCTGACAGAGACTGGAGGAACTCCCGAGACTATAACCCTAAGATATTTTTCTGACCTGGGACTGAAACCGTTCTAGGAGACCATCGTCTAGCCAAACAATAGACATTCCCATAAAATATACGATAACACCCAAGAGGAACGTGCTCCCTAGAACAATAAATTATACAAGATCAAAAGGACAATGTTTGCCCAAAAGCAAAGATGAGAAGGCAGAAAAGGGTAGAAAATCAGAGCGAAAGGAAATTGGGGTCCCAGGGTGGAAATGAGGAGAGTGCTGAAACATTGTGGAGAATGACGCTAAGGTCATGAAATAACTGTACATACAAACTATCGAATGGGAATCTAAGTTGATCTGTAACATTTCACCTAATGTGCAATTAACCCCCCCAAAAGAAAAAAGAAATCTAACTGACTGAAGTTTCTTAGGCTCATTCCTTGACTCTCTTCCTCTTTTTGTGTGATTTAGAAAGACCTGCTGTCAAGAAATCCACCATTCCATGGGTTCAATTTGAGTCATTCTATCATGTAATAGTCCAATCTGACACTTAAACGAGTCAAGATACAGCACAAAGGCAATTGAGTTTTAGGAATCAGATGAGACATTGTCCTTAATTTGTCTTGCCCTTGATTGATTCACCAAGTGGTGGTGATCCACACCGGTGAATATTTGGGATTCACAGGAAATTGAAGTGACTTCAAGTTGAGCAATTTTTGATACCCTGGTGTCCAGTCCAATATGTCACATTAAATTAGGAGAAATGCACAACTGCACAAATGTGTTTTTCTAAAATATTTAGGGGATGTCGATTGCTAGGAACTGAACTCTGACACTGGAGAAGAAATTTCCATGATTGAACACCTCTACCAGTTGAACCTAAGGTTGTACAATGTGGTTTCCATAAATCTTGAAATTGGATGAACTATTTTTTAGACTGATACCTGACAATAGCTCCAGTCTTCTGTGGAGAAAACCCAATGTGGGGGATGATGCCAACTGTTAAGGGTGGGGTCTTGAAGATGACTAACTTCAGCAGTTCAGGCCGTAGGAAGTCATGATCCTCTCCACAAGGAGTGAAGGATCTACTGCTGTCTTGTGCATTCTGAAAGATAAATTTTACTTAAAGTGACTGTTTTGGCTTACAGTGGACTGGGTCTCTATGTGGGTCAAGAGGGACATCAACAGTAAAAGGACAAGTGAACTTACTGGAAGAGGTGTTACCTCTATTCATAGAAAGAAATACAATTCTGAGTGTCCTGGCAGTGATTTAGAGGTCCCCAGTTTTCTGTGGAATCCAAATGTCATTTCCTGAGAATTTCCATGCACTAGACAATGCCATTAGATACAGATCTGGCTATTCTCAATATATCAGCCAGAGGTAATCAATGGAAAAGCCTCTTCTTTCCTTGGAACCTCCCGAGAGTTTGTTCTATGTCCAGAGACCTCTAGACCTTGTCCTTATCTTGCTAGTTTTGTGATTGTCAATGGTCAGTAGCATACATACTGGGTTATTTGTTTGGGTAATGATTTTATCTATACCATTGGTAATAGCTGCCAAAGTCATAGCCATGTGAAAATGAATTTCTCTCCCTTGATCTCTGTCTTACTGCTGTGTTCTTTAAAAAGGGTTTCTGAGGGCAACCACTGTTGGCCTATTTTCATTGAAGTTGTTCCAACCCACTAAGAAACCTGTAGAGGATATGTGAAAACTCTGATCCAGTGTGACACTGGGCTGGAAGGAAGACATCTATGGTAAGCATCTCGAGGACTTAGGGGATGTATACCTGGCAAGTGCCTTGACTACAGTCAATAATAACTTCTGAAAGTATGCTGAAGGGAGATAATTACATAAAAATCATGCTCAATAGGATTACGCTGAGGCCCAGTGGACAACTTCTTTTGCCCAGTCTTATTTATTTTCTCTCTCTCTCTCTTTTTCAGTAAAGAAAATAGAAAGTTTTATTCAGCATATATGCAAAGAGGCAAAAGCGGAAAATGGACAAGCATGCTGGTAGAGCCATGTCTGTCTGAATCCAAGGAATATTACAGAATAGGCAAGAATGGGAAAATTGACAAACATACCACTAGAGCCATGTCTATCCAAGTCCAAGGAATATTACAGAATAGACAAGAGTGGGAAAATGGACAAGCATGTTGCCGCAGCCATGTCTGCCTGAGTCTAAGGAAGGTTACAGAATCATCAGTATATATTAACATTACAAATGGGCAAAACCATTGAAAGCTTCACTTTTTCACAGATTGGCTAGAAACTGCTAAATCACTGTGATTCTACATTTTGAATTGTCTTTCTTAATTATCACTGGTACAGGTTTCAGTAATGACAGTCAGAAGGGTCTTCATTGGCCCAACAAATCTTACTATTCACTAAATGCTAATAGAAAAAGATGAGTGGAAATTTTCAGGTCTTTTGTGTTGTGTTTTATGATTCGTTTATGTGAAAAGTTCCCTGAAAGATGTTTTCTAAGATTGTCTTAGCTATTGTCTTTATAATTTAGGGCCCCGTTGACATGTCCTTTTGAGTTCTTGTGAGTCCAGCGCCAACTGGGTCACAATTTAGGACAGGGAATAATGACTCCAGTATTATCTCCTAAATCATTCCCTTCTTTTGATCGGAGATTGGACATAACACATCGATGATCAATAGCTGGACCTAGTTGAGCTCCTAAATGGTGGCCATGGCAGGGTCTTTAAACTCACGGTGCTGATTTTCCACCGGATCTTAGGTAAGCTCAATGTTCTCATCAATCATATTGCCAAAATGAGCAGACTCAATGTACATCAACATTTTAGCCTGAGGCCTCCTTTTGCCTTTTAAGTGTGTAAGACAATAGAAGATAAAACTTATGCCTAATACTATCAGGATGTAGACTAAGAATATTACTATTCCTTGCAATAGTGATCTAACCCATGTACTTATTCCTGATGGTAACCAACCAAATAAATCTGGTGTTTGTAAGGGTGTTACAGTGGGTAACCAAACAATTTGCTGTCTAATTCTATGTATATCCTGTTATACTTCTCCTGTGTTATTTATCCAAATACAACAAAGTGGTATTTGCTACAGCACAGACTATACTTTCTCGGACTCATAAAAAATCTAAGGCTATTCTGTTATCAGAGCCCTGGTGGCACAGTGGTTAAGAGCCTGGCTGCTAACCGAAAGGTCAGCAGTTCAAATTCACCAGCTGCTCCTTGGAAACCCAATGGGGGAGTTCTACTCTGTCCTATAGGGTGGCTATGAGTCACAACCAACTTGACGGCAGCTAACAACAATTATGTTATCTCATGTCACTTTTGCTTTGATGAAGTCAGAGATAGCTGTTGTGTTTCCATCCCATTAGCAACTTCGTCTGCTATTTATCCCATAGTGATTGACAAATTTCTTAAAGATTTCTCCAATTCAACTATACTGTAAGTAGGGATTAAAGCTACCATCCCTACCCTGTGTGTTGGACCAATGGACTTTCTTCTGACTCTCGTTTTACAGTGTGTAACAATTTAACATTACCGTGATAATTAAGATTGTGTGTCAACTTGGCTGGGCCATGATTCTCAGTGTTTATATGTGATCACTCCCATGGTTGAATATGCTGTGAGTAGCCAATCAGTTGAAGGGGAGTTTCCTTGGGAGTGTGGACTGCATCCTAATATAAGCAGAATTTCTGGCTTTTTGATCAATCTGGATCCTGTGGCTGCCTCCTGTTTTCTCATCTCCAGTTCTTGGGACTTGAGCTAACAGCTTACCTGTCGATCTTGGGATTCACCAATCTTTACAGCCTTCAAGCAAGAGTCCTGATCCCCAACCTGATGATTTTGGGTTTGCCAGCCCATGCAGCTATATGAGTCAGGAGAGACCTTGCGGTCTTGCATCCCAATCTTGGGATTTGTCGACCTTCACAGCCTGTGAGTGGGAGCCCTGCTCTCCAACCTACTGATCTTGGGCTCACCAGCTTCTGCAGCTGTGTGAATTGGGAGAAGCCTCTACCCTGATCCACAGACTTGGGACGTTCTAGCCTCTATAATCGCGTGAGCTGTTTCCTTGATATAAATCTATCTCTCTATATATTTATACACTTTACTGGTTTTGCTTCTCTAGAGAACCCAGCCTCAGACAATTAGCCTTCCAATATTTATTAGCATCATTACTATGAATATCTAAAGTTAATCCTAAGGGTACCAAACTGCATTGCCCACACACTTGCTAGGAATCTAAACAATAGATTGCCCACATAAATTCACTGTCAGTTGGAAAGGATCATCTAAACTAGTGTAGTTGGATACACCACACAGAAGCATATCCATTAGGAGCACACAAAGTTTGTCTAGAGGAAAAAGATGGCATAGAAAAATTTACATGTGACCACTAAGTTTTCATTAGAGAATACATCATTAACAAGATAATACAGGATGGACCTCTCCTGCTAGAAGTCTTCAGTTAAGCTATTTAAATCATAGAAAGTGTTCCTCCCAAGTGCAAGCTGCCCCTCCTTGATTTACCTGTTAACAGTCATGAGTCACTTTCTCAGAAGCAAAAGTGGAGCCTAAGACAAAAGGGAGTCTGCGCCATGAGGTCAATCTCCTCTGAGAACATGGCTTCTTTAAGATACATAAATTTCTGCATAGTAAGGGGGTGACAGTTTGATTAAACGTTAGACAGGCATTTCATACAATATAGTCTTGAAGACTGATTAAACTAATTACTGATTTACCCAAAACATAGCTCTCAGTCTAATCTTTGGAGTCACTTTCACAAAACAGACTGTATTCTTCAAAAAAAAAGGATAATATCCAGAGCAAAAGGGTCTTACTAGTTTATCTGGACCATTGTTTGACTTAAAAGTGGCTTCAGGAACCAGTGTTTTTTCCCGAAGTTCGAGGTTCAAAAGGATACCTAAAGGTGATGACCTGTATGGGTTACCTTAACCTCCATAGAAGACAGAAATCTGGATTACAAGAGAATTACAACTGTTTCATCATTTCTTCCCTTGGATCATAATCTTGTGGAATCTTTGATCAAAAATGCTCAATAAATGGTAATTGGGCACCATATGGTTTTTAAGATCCCAGGTACCATATAGCAAACTAGGAGGTAAAACAGAAACACTAATAATAATATTAGGGCAATTGTCTGAAATAATCAATGAAACCATGACCCTAAGGTCTTTGAACTCAGGAAACAAATCTCATGAAGTGTCTGTTTATATGTAAGCAGCATCAGAAACTGCTTTTCCTGTACCTCAGTAGCAACTATATTCTGCAAAACCTCAGATTGCATATTAATATAAACACAGCAACACTTATCTATTAAGGCATAAACTGTTCCTTGGGAGACTAGTAGGAAATCTAATACTATTCTATTGTGTAAAATCATAGCTTGAACTTCGGCGCTTATCTGTTTATGATAGTTACAACTTTGCTAAGTTTACCAACAGGAACTTCTAATTTGACAGTTAAAATACCTAAACCCATTAGTTAGATAATTTAGGAGAAAGGAAAATAGCTCCTTTTATCCAGAAAGTAGGACCTTAAAACATCAGCATTATTCCCAAAGAAAACCCATAGTAATCCTTTTGTTTGCTCAGTCTTATGTAGCTCCTTTCTGGATCAGCCAGCTGCAGCCTGTGAATCCATCAGCTCCTACACAGAGTTCTGGAAATCTTGCTTCAGTTTAGTCACAGTTTTTTTTGTAAATCCAATGTAGTCCATCTTTTTGTCGAGATATTTTGGTCAAAAGTTTTCAGCAAATCAGCAAAGTAAAAACTTATCAGCAGATGACAAAACCTGTCAGTGTTGAAGGGGCATGGAGATAGGACCTCTCTTTGCTGGCTTCTGCTCTGCAGTCCAGGTCTCCTTGAGGTCAACTGGATTCATAGCTTCAGAAATCCTTGAAGACTACTCCATTAACTGTTCCACTGAGACCAGGTTATCATAGATCACCTCCATCACTTCTCTGTATAGGGCCCTTTGTGCAGGGCCTAGTTGCCCCCACTCTGGCTCAGTGAAGTCCATGGCCACATCCTTGAATGTAACAGTTTCCTGGAAATTGATCATTTCTTCCTCCTCTTGGACAAGGTCAGGGTGTTAAGGAGGCAGAGCCCAGGTGCCCCTCTGAGCTGCAATCATGTTGCGTGTAGCTGCTGGCAGTGCAAAAAGCAGCCCAGATTCCCCACCCCCCACCCAGTCTTATTATCTACTTCAAGGTTGTGCCCTATTTTGATTCTTTTCACCTTCCTCTAGTTATTGAAAATGCATAACGGACTGCCATTTCTCAGGCTCACTCCTTGGCTCTTTTCCTCTTTTTGTGTAACTTAAAAAGACCTGTTGAGGTGGATCCAAGATGGCAGAGTAGTCAGACCCTTCCTGTGGTCCCTCTTACAACAAAGACCCCCCAAAAAGTGAATCGATTATATATGACAATCTAGGATCCCTGAACATAAAAGGCAAAGTTAAGGAATTGGACTGAGTGGCAGTGGGAGGGAGAGGCAGTTCAGAAACAGTGAGGAGTTGCCAGACATGACCCAGTGAGAATTGGCATCCTGCAGGCTGGATGGACTAGTGTGCACTATGAGGCAAGTAGTGGTGCTCAGGACATGTTTTCCACATCAGGAGAGACCAAGTGGCAGAGAGTCTACTCAAGCCTCGGAACCAGTGAAAAGTGGCACTCAATCAGCAAAAGATAAATACAAGCATCTAACCCACCACATGGATCAAAAAACACCCCATTTGGGAAGAACCTCTCTCCCATTTACCTGCTTCCTCCCTGCTCTGCACCTGGTCCTGGGCTGGCTTCAGTGATTGCCTTGTCTCCTGGGCCAGAAGTAGGACTTGTTGTGTGCCCTGAGCCATTCTCCCAGCCTTGGAGA